CACATGCAAACATAAGTACATCTAGACAAGGGGTAGGCAACCTTTTGAGCACAGTGTGCCGAAAAATGTTTTGAAAAAAATTTAGAGTGCCAGTTACTTACATTAAAAAAAATGTCAACTTCACACTTTCAATTATGAAAAGGAATCTTGCGATAGTAAGTGCTGTAAATGACTTGAATAAAAATAAATGACCCAAAATAGTGAAAAAAAATGTTTTTAAATTTGTGTTTCTTGTTACTACCATAACCTACCACCAGGAGGAACACAAAATAAATTCTCCAGCACCTGACGATTGCAGCGATATCAGATATGTTACATAGTGGTAAGAAATAAATATTTAGCTTTGCACCTTCACACTTCAGATCACCTCAATTCTTGCATCTTCACATCTCAGATTATCCCCAATTCCCGCACCTTCACAGCTCAGATCTCCCCAGTTCGTGCACCTTCAAATCTCAGATCACCCAAAATCCTGCACCTTCACACCTCATATCACTCCTATACTTCTCCAGAAATGGGCGAGGCCAGAAGTGGGAAACAGGAAGCATGTGTTGATGTGTTGGGTGTCCCAGCCTTCGCGTTCCAGCATAAATTTGGCCATGTGCCATGTCTGGCATGTGTGCTGGGGGTTGCCGACCCCTAATCTAGACACATGTAATGAATCTGGAAAATTTTACTTTTTTATACCTCCCAAATCAATTTTGCTGCAAACACAGGTGGCCTGTGCGTATGAGGTCTGCAGGTTTTGACAAACACTAGAACTGGTTCTATGCATAATTTTTTAATTATATATATATATATATATATATATATATATATATATATACACACACACACACTATATTGCCAAAAGTATTGGGACACCCCTCCAAATCCTCTTTTATAGACTCCAAAGAGAGAGATATAACTTTACTCTTGCAAAAATCATTAGTAAAACCTCATCTGGAATATGCAGTCCAGCTTTGGCATCAATTCACAAAAAGAACATTGGAGAACTGGAGAAAGTGCAGAGAAGGGATACCAAACTGATAAGAGGAGCTCAGCTATGAGGAAAAATTGAAGGAATTGAATTTATTCTCTCTTGAGAAGAGGAGATTAAGGGGGGATATGATCAACATGTATAAATACACCAATGGTTCATATAGTGAACTTGGTGTAGAGTTATTCACCCTGAGGTCATCACAGAGGACAAGGGGAACTCTTTATGTCTGGAGGAAAAGAGATTTGATCTTCAAATACGGAAAGGTTTCTTCACAGTGAGAGCTGTGAAAATGTGGAATAGACTCCTGGTTCTGGCAAGCTCAGTAGATTTCTTTTAAAAAGGCCTGGATTCTTTCTTAGGTACACAGAATATAACTGGATACTAACATTTATAGATAAAGTTGATCCAGGGAACATTCTATTGCCTCTCGAGGGATCAGGAAGGATTTTTTTCCCCTGCAGGAACAAACTGGATCATGCTTTGTTGGGGTTTTTTTCCTTCCTCTGGATCTACTGTGGGTATAGGAGTATAAGCTTTTTTTTTATGGTTGAACTGGATGGAATTTTGTCTTTTTATTCAGCCAGACTAACTATGTAACTGTGTAAATCATTGTATTCAGGTGTTCCAATTATCCCCATGGTCACAGGTGTATAAAATCAAGCACCTAGGCAAGCAGACTGCTTCTACAAACATTTGTGAAAGAATGGGTCACTCTCAGGAGCTCAGTGAATTCAAGTGTGGTACCTTGACAGACTGCCACCTGTGCAATAAGTCCATCCATGAAATTTCCATGCTACTAAATATTCCATGGTCAACTGTTAGTAGTATATAACAAAGTGAAAGCAACTTGGAACTATAGCAACTTAGTCACGAAGTAGAAGGCCACGTAAAATGATGCGGGATCAGAGCATGCTGAAGTACACAGTACGCAGAAGTCGCCAACTGTCTGCAGAGTCAATAGCTAAAGACCTCCAAACTTCACGTGGCCTTCAGATTAGCACAACAACAGTGCATAAAGAGCTTCAAGGAATGGGTGTCCATGGCTGAGCAGCTGCATCCAACCCTTACATCACCAAGTGCAATGCAAAGCCTTGGATGCGGTGGCGTAAAGCACGCCGCTACTGGACTCTAGAGCAGTAGAGACATGTTTTTCTGGAGTGACAAATAACGCTTCTCTGTCTGGCAATCTGTTGAACGTGTCTGAGTTTGGGGGTTGCCAGGAGAACGGTACTTGCCTGACTGCATTGTGCCAAGTGTAAAGTTTGCTGAAGGGGGGATTATGATGTGGAGGCTGTGTTCAGAGGTTGGTCTTGGCTCCTTAGTTCCAGTGAAGGGAACTCTTAAGGCAATAGCATACCAAGACATTTTGGACAATTTCATGCTCCCAACTTTGTGGGAACAGTTTGGGGATGGTCCCTTCCTCTTCCAACATGACTGCGCATCAGTGTGCAATGCAGGGTCCATAAAGACATGGATGGGCGAGTTTGGGGTGGAGGAACTTGACTGGCCTGCACAGAGTCCTGACCTCAACCCGATAGAACACCTTTGGGATGAATTAGAGTGGAGACTGCGAGCCAGGCCTTCTCGTCCGACATCAGTGCCTGACCTCACAAATGCGTTTCTGGAAGAATGGACAAACATTTCCAAAGACACACTCCTAAACCTTTTGGACAGCCTTCCCAGAAAAGTTGAAGCTGTTATAGCTGCAAAGGGTAGGCCAATTCAGTATTGAACTCTACGGACTAAGATTGGGATGTCATTAAAGTTCATGTAAAGGCAGGCATCCCAATACTTGTGGCAATATAATATATATATATATATATAATTTGGCTCCAAAAGAGGGACAGTTCCTTCAAATAAGTCACTTTTGGGAGCTATAATGTATATGGGAAAGCCAACTTTGGTCATAATATAGCAATTGCAATAATGTGCAATTGTAGATTACACACCTGGCTATCCCAGCACTTACCAACACACCTTGAGCATTTTGTGGGTTTAGTAACACTTTAAATAAAGCCACCACATTTCTGTATTACTGAATGTTCAACTTTAAGATGGTTGCTGCATTTGTATACAAACTATTGTTTAAATGAACTCTGTCAATTCCACAGAAGAATAATGCAGCAACAGGAAGAAAAGCAAAAGTCATATAATAACATTGTGCTCAATTCACAAAGAGTCATTTTCTTCTTTAACCACTTGCTGTCCGGACACTTTTACCCCCTTCCTGTCCAGGGCAATTTTCAGCTTTCAGCGCTATCACACTTTGAATGACAATTGCGCGGTCATGCAACACTGTACCCATATGAATTTTTTACCATTTTTTTGAGGCAGATAAAGCTTTATTTTGGTGGTATTTATTCACCGCTGGGATTTTAATTTTTTTTACTATGTAAATGAAAAAGTCCAAAAATTCTGAAAAAAAGTGTTTTTTTTTAATAAAATTTTGCAAATAAATAATATTTCATCATAAATCTTGGCCAAAATTTATTCCGTTATTTTTTTAGTAAAAAAAAAAAATCCAAATTAGTTTATAACCAAAAAATATAATTTTTAAACATTTTTTTTTACATTTTTATTTTATTATTTTTATATTATTATTTTATTTTATTTATTTATTTTTTTACATACTGTCACCCTAGCAATACAGTGTCACCATGGTGACACTGTACTACTTGTGGGGGGTAATGAAGATTTTTTTTTTTTTTTTTTTAGACTGATTGCTTTTACACCCATATAGGGTGTAAAAGCAATCATTTCTCTTTCTCTCTGTCTGCATTCTTGCAGTCATTGAGAAATACTGAGTGAGCTGTGATTGGTCACAGCTTGTCACATGGTACAAGACTGTTGTGAATAGCCTTGTACCATGTGACCTCTGTTATCATTCACAGATTTCACACGTAGTAAGCAATGATGTCACAAGTGACATCTTGCTTACTACTTTGCATGTGATCACTGATTCGCCAATCAGTGATCACATGATCGGGACCTCGACCAGAGGTCCCGTCCGACGATCGTGTGTTTCACTGTGTCCGGAGGACACAGCGGGCACCGGATCGCGGTGCTGCTGCGCGCTCCCAGGGAGCGCGCACAGCTAGAAAAGGCGGGTGCCATTTAGGAACGGCAACCCGCCCCTGGACTGCCACCGCCCTGCCGTTTATAAACAGCAGGCGGACGGCAAGAGGTTAAGATCTTGATAAAATAGCTAATAGCATTTTTCTAATTTTTTTTTTGCAATTTACAAAAAAACGCTACTAAAATAAGGCATGAGTTATTTAATCAAAATGTAAAGTATTTATCTCATGAAACTGTTCTGTATTTCATCTCATGACATGATATCCAGTGGGAAGGATACAGTAGAAGCCCTAGAAGTTTTTATTGCTGCTTGTGCCCCATTAGGGAGATTCACTCTCTCTATTGTTACTGTTTCTCCTTCTCACTGAAAGTTAAAAGGAAATAAATTTCCACATTGTGGGCTGACATCAGAACACAATTATTGGGGAAATCTCCCCAATGGGACACAAATGGGAAAACCCCCCAGAAAACTGCCAGGAGTTTTAACTCTCCATTATCCTATCCAAAACGAAAAATAAAGTTTTGCCTTTAGTCACACTGTAAAGTAATTTTAGTTTTGATAATTGGCAAAGTCATTGCTATATCTCTGGACAGGTCTGTTTTGTCTTGTTAAAGAATAGCCATTGAAATTCTATGTTCTTGAAAGTGACACTCTGGTGTAGCACCCTCCTAGTTAGCTAGGGGAGCTAGAGTCCTGATTGTTAGAGAGGAGGGCTGAGTAGCAGCCTGGGTGCAATAGTCAGGAGGTAAAACTGTGGCCAGGCAGGCCAGCCCCTCTGGGAATCTTCCTCTGCTTCAAAGCTTTAGAGAAAGTTCTAGAAGCACTGGGTGAATCTGAGGAGTGGCTGACTTGTACTCTTAAGGGATCTTGGCCAATCCCCAGCAAGAGGCTTGGCAAGGGGCCAGGACAACCCTTAAGAGTGATTGAGCCTGCTCAGTTGCAGGAGAGTTCGGGTGACAAACAGAGAGAAAGATGGAAGGCTGAAGGCAGGAGCCTAGGAGGGGGCCCAGATGGAGAGAGAGACTCACAGTGGAATTGGAAATGAGGAAAGCTCAGAGCTTTACTTGCCCTCAGAGCTAGGACCACCTGTACAGCAGGAAAGGAGCGGCCCAGCTAGAAGGCCTGGTAACAGACACCAACCCATCTGTGGTAGTGAGTGAGTACTCCTGCACCCCCTGGGCAGATAGGAGAAGGAGCACTTTAGTGGGAAACCAGATTCGCCACCTACCTGGGACTGTCCATTTTATAAACCAACAGGGACCATATCCCCTGCTTAGGGATACCTCCAGATTGCTCTCCAAAAGAGACTGTGTTGCAGTGAAAACTTTTAAATAGTTCCAGGAAGTTGTCCTCAGTTCATCGGTTCCATTGGACATCCTGTACACCCACACAGGGCTGTCTTTAACGCAGGGCAAAAGAGACAGCTGCCCAGGGCCCAGTCATTGTTTATTTTCAGTCTTAATTCTGCCACCTCCGGCACTGCTCACTTCTGTCACTTGTAAATGCAGAAACAGTGGTTTTATATTTACAATTGACTGCGCTCCTGTCCTGGCAGCCGCTTACAACCCTTCATGCTCTACACATCGATCTCTATAGGAGAGCAGAGGAGGGAGGGGGCAGGGAATCCACACAGGCAAAGTGTTTTGTTTTTTTTTTTTTGTGTGTTGGGTGGGGTTTGGGTGTTGTGTGTTTTTTTTTTTTTGTTTTTTGGGTTTTTTTTTTTTTTTTTTTTGTTGTTTTTTTGTTTTTTGGGTGGTTTTTGGTTTTGGGGTTGTGGGTTTTTTTTTTTTTTTTTGTTTTTTTTTTGTGTGTTGGTGTTTTTTTGTTTTTTTTTTGGGGGGTTTTTTTTTGTTTTTTTTTTTTTGTGTTTTTTTTGGGTTTTGGGTTTTTGGGGGGGTTTTGGGGGGTTTTGGGGTTGTTTTTTGTTTTTGGGGTGTTTTGTTTTTTTTTGTGTTTTTTTTTTTTTTGTTGTTTTTTTTTTTTTTTTGGGGTGGGTTTGTTTTTTTGTTTTTGTGGTTTGGTTGTTTTTTTTGTTGTTGGGGGGGTTTTTTTGTGGGTTTTTGGGTGGGTTGTTTTTTTTGGGTGTTTTTTTTTGGTTTTGTGTTTTTTTTTTGTGTGGGGTTTTTTTTTTTTTTGTTTTTTTTGGTTGGGTTTTTTTGTTTTTGGGTTTTTTTTGGTTTTGTTTTTGGTGTTTTTTTGTTTGTTGGGGTTGTTGTTTGGTGTTTTTTTTTTGTTTTGTTTTTTTTTTTTTTTTTTTGTGTGGGTTTTTTGGTTTTTTTTGGGGTTTTGTTTTTTTTTTTTTTTTTTTTTTGGTGTTTTTTGTGGGTGTGTGTGTTTTTGTGTGTTTTTTTTTTGGGGGGTGTGTTTTGTTGGGGGGGTTTTTGTGTGTGTGGGTTTTTTTTTTTTTTTTTTTTTTTTGTGTTGTGTTTGTTTTTTTGTTTTGGTTTTTGGGGTTTTGGTTTGGGTTGTTTTTGGTTTTTTTTGTTTGTGTTTTTGGTTGGGGGGTGGGTTTGTTTTGGGGGGTGGGGTGTGGGGGGGGGTTGTTTTTGTGTGTGTGTTGGGGGGGGGTTTGGGGGTGTGTGTGTGTGTGTGTGGGTGTGTTTTTTGTGTTTTTGGTGGGGTGTTTTTTGTTTTTTGGTGTGTGTGGGTGTGGTGTGTGTGTGTGGGGTCCAGCACCCATGACCCTATCCCAGTTCAAATTCCCCTAATAAAATCAAAAACACAAAGCTCAAGGACTGATCTCTGACTCCTGGATGCAAACCTGTGTGAAGAAGCATGTTGTCTGGTTGTGCAGGACTATAGGGGGACCCGTAATCTTTGCAATTCCTTAGGAGGTAGTGCTACACTGGTATCCATTTGTAAAAAGTTCACACTGATGACACCCTTCTGCTAACAGCTCAAGTTCCACACCTTTGTAAGAATGCTTGCTATTCCTAATTCCATTCTGTCTTGTGAATATTTGAAACAAAGATTTCTCTAAGGCTGCATGCACACTGGGCATAGAAAATGCCAGTTCCCTTGGCAGAAAAACCCGCTGATATAGAGCGTTTTTTTTTTGTACGCAGTTTAGGTTTGTTTAGGAGAAATTAGAATTTTTTTTTCTGCCAGAAAGCTACCATCAAAAATGCAAACCAGAAGGGTTTTTTTCTTGCCTCAAAATGCTGAGCTTAAAATATGCATCAAGTTGTCCTAATGAACATGGACGCATAGGATAACACTGTTTGCAGTGTTTTTTAAGCCAGTGTGCATGGAGCCTACAAATAACTGTGAAAAGTAAAGTATCCCCACTACATATGACATATGTTCTAACACGGGATTGGACCATTGTGATATGCATGTACATTGTATTATGTGTGGAGTGATTGGGGGGTTTTTTTTTTGCGGCAAATGATGTATATACTTGAACATACACAAAAAATTATCTGAAAATCTCACAAAATGACAGGATAAAATAGTTATATTTCACTACATGTGAAAGGGTTAATTTACTAAAGGCATATAGGGCTCCATTCGGGGTAAAGCGGTATCTTACTGCAATGAGGTAAGATACTGCACAGCGTTTTTTCAAAAAGTTTATTCAATTCACTAACATACCACATTCCTTATTTTATGAAGTCATGTGGTATTTTAGTAGTGAACGGCTGTGGTATTTCTAACGTTAGGGGTGGCCATTGTCCTTAACGAACAGTGTAAATAGCTAGTTGTTAAGGAGCGAGTGACCTCCAGAATCCTTAACAGCCAGTAAACAACTTGTTTGAGTCATCATCTGAATGTAAAGAAAAGAACTGCCTGAACTTTAAAATTAATAAAAAAAATGGTGTAGGGTCCCCCCAATCCATACCAAGGCATTGTGTCAGATCACCTAATTACCTCATGAGATATGTTTAGTGAATGGAGCCCATCATGCTGTAATGTATACTTGAACTCCAGATCCCGTGAGTCCTACAGTGATGGCGGGTCCAAACAGCAGTAGCCATGATTCATTGCCTTTTTAGGTTCCAAACATAAGATGGTCCTCAGGCCATATTAGAGATCATTTGCTTTCACACTTATGAGGGGCCTTTCCATTGTAAGTAGATACAGGCCTAGTCCACTGGGGGTCCTGCTGGACACCCAAGACCAATTAACATGGGGGCCAGGTTTCTAGGCATGTGCACCCAGGGGAACTTTTCCTACCACTAAGGGGGGCCTTGCAGGTGGACCCTCCTTTACTAGGCCATCATTCATTCTCGACCCTAGCTAGCTCATGCTTATCAATACCATCACAGAGGCATTGTTGATTGAAAATATTTGCTGAAATTCTTTGAATTGTTTCACACATTAACATTAATGTATCCATAGCTTTTTATAAAAGTGTTGTAGGGTGCTGCATGTATATTATAGACAAAAGGGATATTAGCAAGCGCTACCTCCAGAAATAGCACCAAAAGGCAACCAAAAACAACCTTCCAATGCAAATAACAAAAAACAGGTGCAGCGCTAAAAAAGATAATATGCATAAAGTGATCATCAATATCATAACCACCTAAATATTATTATTGTAGCAGATATAAGAAGATGCACAGAAAATGCAAAATAAATCAAATAATAAGCAGCACCTCTAACCAAAAAAGGTAAAATAGTGTACAAATAAAAAGTGCGCTAAATATTCACAAAACCTGCAAGGATAAATAATAAAAATAAATGAATTCATCATAAACATAAGTCCAGCCACCATAACAGTGATAGTCCAATATCAACTTAATGTCAATCTTGAAAACAAACACCCATGTGCAAATCCGACACCAGATGAAATGAATACACTCACCAGAGCAGAGGTGATTATATTATAAACCAGCATGATAGCATTTTGCTCTGGGAGCAATGATCTGCAGGATATCCCAGTAGAGGAACAGCAACCAATAGTGATCCAATCAGCACATATGGAACAGCTAGGCAGCACATATGGAACAGCTAAGCAGCAAATGATCTTCCAATAACATGGGCAAAGCTCGAGGAATAAGAAGAGATATGATGGTGCAGTACGTTTAAAACCAGTAAAATTTTATTAATAAAGTATTGCACTCACAAAGAAGGTGTCTAGCCAACACCAGCAATGACAGCCTCTAAAATGCCACATCCACAAGGGAAAAACCAAGGGACGAACTTCCTGCACTGCGATCAAACAGCCGACAGCTGGGAGGAACGTTCCAACGTCACATCAACGTCACATCCACTAGGCCTGGCCTGCATGAATTTGCCAGCAATTGGACATGAGGTTGAAAGGATAGGTTTGAGTCCAGGGTGACACCTAGAACTTTGGCTTGCGGGGGTGGGACTGATGGTGGTGTTATTGGTCGTGATGGAGAGGTTTGGGGGGGGAGCGCATTATAGGTAACGCTGAAGGAGCGTTGGGATAGATAGGAGGAAAGCCAGGAGACAGCAGAGTCTCTGATGCCAAGGGAGTGTAGTTTATTAAGGAGTAGGGGGTGGTCAACTGTGTCGAAGGCCGCGGAGAGGTCGAGGAGCAGGAGGACTGAGTAGTGGCCATTAGCTTTGGCGGTTAGCAGGTCATTAGTGATTTTGAGTAGGGCGGTTTTTGGTGGAGTGTAGGGGACGGAAGCCAGACTGTAGTGGATCAAGGAGGTTGTTGTCAGTAAGGTGGGAGCTTAGGTGGTTGTAGACTAAGCGCTCAAGGAGCTTGGATGTGAATGGCAGCAGGGAGATGGGTCTAAGGTTGTTCAGGTCAGTGGGGTCCAGGGAGGGTTTTTTGAGTATGGGGGGGTGTGTAGTGCGCGTGCTTTAGGGGGAAGGAGAATGCGCCAGTAGAGAGGGAGAGATTGGAAATGTGGGGTGAGGGAGCGTAGGATGGAGAAGGAGGGTGACCGGAGGAGTTTTGTGGGGACAGGGTCAAGGGGGCAGGTGGTGAGGCGGGCTTCTGAGAAGACCTTAGTGACCTCCTCAGTGGTAGCAGGGCTGAAGGAGCGGAGTGTTGGGGAGGTTATAGTGTGCGGGATGTTAGGTGTGGTGGGGGGCAGGGCGGTTGCGAGGTCAGAGGAGGGGAGACTTTATGGGGTAATGGTGGGAGGGAGGCTAGGTGGGGAGGTAGATTGAGTATTGGCAATGTCCTTACGGATTGCGTTAATCTTGTTTTGGAAGTAACTGGCAATCTCGTGGGCGG